CAGCAACTGTCTCTGTGAACCAAGTCAAAGGAAAAGAATATGAAGAAATATTTTACTAAATTAGCACTTAAGAGTAACTATGTATAATTCAATTAGACTTCACCAGTATTAAAAACTTTTGTTCTAGCAAGGTGTGGTGGCACACACCTTTAATCCCAGCACTCGGGAGGCAGAAGCAGGCAGATCTCTGAGTTCAAGGCCAGCCTGGTCTACATAGTGAGTTCCAGGACAGCTGGGGCTACAGGGAGACCCTGTCTCACAAAGACCAAAATAAATAAATAAACTTTTGTTCTGGAAATTATGTAAGTGACATATTGATAGAGTAGGAGAAAGTACATTGGCAAATCATGTGTCTGATAAGGATTGTTTTCAGAATATGTGACAAACACTTGTCATTTAATAATAAAAGAAAAATAATTAAAATCTAAAATTGATAAAGTATACGAATCAACATTTCTCCCCAGAAGATATGCAAATAATTCACAATGCATGAAAAGATATTGAGCATATTTAGCTCTTAGAAAATATAATAAAGTCACAACATGATAACACTTCACAGTCTAAAATTAAAAATGATAGAAATAAAAAGTAACAGCAATAATGTGGGTTAATTCCAGGTATCATACGTTGCTAATCAGCATATAAACTTTTGCAGACATATGGGAAAATAGTTTAACAATTCCTCAGAAAGTAGAATATATGATTATGATATAGAGCAATTTATACACACACACACACACATACACACACACACATACACACACACACACACACGAAATGAAAATTGTTTGCACAAAAACCTGTTCACTGATGCTCCTAGCAACATTAATGGAAAAGATGGAATTTAAAAATAACAAGTATTGTCAACTGATTATTGGATAACTGATATATCTATTGGCAATAAAAAATAAATAAACCGGGGCTGGAGAGATAGCTCAGTAGTTAAGACCACTGACTGTTCTTGCAGAAGACCTGGGTTCGAATCCCAGCACCCAAATGGCAGCTAAGAACTGTCCATAACTCCAGTTCCAGGGGATCTGACTGCCTCTTCTCTCCTCCACGGGCATTGCACAACACAACACAGGTGAACTTACCTACATGAAGGCAATACACACATACACATAATATAAAAATAACAATTTTTTAAAAAGTAAATAAACCTATTAATGTTGCAATAAAATGCGTTTTAAGCATATGGTAAGTGAATGTTGCAGAAGCTCACATATTGTATTATTCTTTCTATTTGAAATGATTAGAGAAGTAAAAATAGAATGATGAGTAAATTAGGATTTGACGGGCTTGGAAAGGGCTGATGGTATAGAAAAGTGATGGAGGAGCTAGAGAGATGTCTCAGCAGTTAAGAGCACTGACTGTAAGAACCATGTTCGATTTCCAGCACCCGTATGATGGCTAACAACTGTTCTTTCAAGAACTCCTGTTCCAGGATAATCCAATGTCCTCTTCTGACCTCCATGGGCATTGCACAACACACATGCAATTACTTGCAAGCTAGTAAGACACTCATATACATAAAAAAATTAAAATATTTTTAAAAGAAAGAAAAGTGAATAATTATTGCTAATAATATTAGATTTCTCATTGAAGGGGAACAGCATTCTAAGCCTACATGATGAATATTGCTTTGTATAACACAAGTAAAGCTGCTAATGTGGAAAGAGAGCTTAAACCCAAATGCATTCCTGAACTTTATTAACATGAACTGTACAGGTTGGGAGAACACTGAGGAATAGAGAGAGATCTTAAAAGTTTTGGACTTGATTGACTGGAACAATACAATTCTTTAGACTCTTGGGTTTTAATAATCCAACAACATCTATGGGTAGTCACATAGAAGCTTGAACAGGAGTGTGATAAGAAAGCTCAAGGCCTCTCTTGATGCTAGAAAAGGTTGAGATGGTGTCACATAGCTGTTAAATGGTGGAGTGGGGCCTCCAGATAAGATGGAGATGGTGAAGACCATAGCATGGATTGAGATGGGGTTCTTGAGTTCCTCAGTCCATAATATAGCCTTCACCATCTCCATCTTATCTGGAGGCCCCACTCTATCATTTCTGAATACTATAACAGCCCCCACACATATTTGTTTACAAATGTACAATAAACATTATACACTAAGCTGCACATATGAGGGAAAACATTTTTTTTTTACTTTCTGTGACTGGGTAAGTCCACTTAGTATTACACATTCTAGGTCCAACCATTTTCATGCCAATTTTGTGATTTTTGTGATTTCAGTTTTCTTAAAAGCTGAAAAATATACTATTATATATATGCCAGATTTTTATCATCAATTCATCTGTTAATGCTTTTTAAGTTTCTTTTGAAAAGAAAAAAATAAAATCTGTGACTGTTTTTTTTTTTGCCTATGCATTCATTACTAGTACTTGTGTTTTATTGTGTACAATAAAATATCATAGTGGAAGCTGTGGTGTAAATGAGAGAACAGAAAATAGTAGTTCTGTGTCTCTCATATTTTGAAACATGGTGAAATTTCTTTCATGCATCAGGGCTGCTACTTTTTATTTTTGTGAAGAGTTCAATTAAAGCACATCTGCCATTTGCAGCCGGTTCTCTGATAAAACACCATGGAATACAAAGCCATGTGGATCTGACTTACATTCTTCAGAACCTCAGAGAATCTGTGTTCTTGTGACTGTGGGTGATGTCCTTCCATTGAGTCCAGAGGAGACTCTCAAATTTTCACTGGAGATTGACTCAGAAAAAGTTTTGAACAAGTGTAAGATTTTAGAAACTCTTGGAAACTTGAATCTTCTTTCATGTTATATTTCTTTGTTTTTGTGAATTATGAATTATTTTGATCAGATATTCAATGTCACAAATTTTTTTCAAGATTGAATCTTATGCTTTTGAATTATATAGGAAAAAAATATTGTGGAAAGTTTATCAAATTTATACATTTATTTTTTTAAATATATTTTATTTATTGTTGTTATTTTCAGTATATGAGTGTATTATCTGTATGTGTGTAAGTGCAGCCACGTCATGAAATGCCAGTGGAAGTCAGAAGATGGCATTGAATCCCCTGGAACTGGAGCTATGGACAGTTGTTAGCCACCATGGGCATGTTGGGATCTGAACCCAAGTCCTGTACAAGATCAGCCAGTGCTCTTTAACCACTGAGCCATTTCTCTGGCCCCCAAATTGATACATTGATGTATCACAAATTCAAATCAATTTTAGAAGAATAGACAAATATCTGAATTCTATGAATGCAAATCACTCCTTTGATTTAACGTAAAAAAAAACTTTCCAATTTTTAAGTCTATGCATTCAGATATTCCACAGACTTTTTAACATTATCAGAGGGGTTTTAAAAAATGTACAATTATTTTCGTAACCTTGTTCAATGGATCAGAATTTCTGAGAACATGTCCTTGTGTATTTCAAAAGTAATCTCACATGGGCATTAAAATGAGCCTAGTTATAGAAGCATCCATCTAGTGTTCATTTTAAAATGAGGTAAAGGTGATCTGTAGACACCAAGTATATATGTGTTTAATCAGGACAGCAATGCTCTATTTATATGGTTCTCCAAACTTACAACTTTATTATAACCTCTTAATTTTTAGATATTTGTGTCTTTATTTCTGTTAGTGAACATGCATCAAATGCCAATTTTAGGCATCAGCATAATCTCTTCTATAAGTAATGTTTACATTCAAACCAAATGCCACATAAAAATAAGGATAACACAGGGACAGTCAGGTTATGACAAGTAAGCAACAATCAATATACAGTAAACAATGAATTCAGTTACATAAAAGAAAAATTTTAAACCTCAGATGTGACTTGGGTTGAAAGAGAAATCTCTTGCCAGGGAAAATTACATACAACCCAAGAATATTTCTGCAATATGAAACTATTTGGAATCCACAGGTGTGATAGAGTTACGGATGTCTAGTCAATAACAAACTATTATATTTAGTAAAGCTGTTAATTTAAAACACTATAGCATTATGATTTTCCAACCAAACACATCAACAAATTGTATATATGTTAAACTAATCTTGCCCAGAATGACTCAATCCTTATACAGGGCTTCATATTAATTCATACAATTTGGTTCTCCTGGTAGTGACTTTATATTGATTTAGACTACTGACTTCAGATTACAAAGTTTAAAATCATATACCAGGATAATAATAAGATGGGGCTGGAGAGATGACTCAGTGGTTAAGAGCACTGACTGCTCTTGCAGAGGACCTGGGTTCAGTTCCCAGCACCCACATGGCAGCTGTGAACCGTCCTTAACACCACTTCCAAGGGAATCCAAAGCCCTCTTCTGACCTCCACATCATTGCACTACATGGGTGCATTCACTTTCATAGGCAATACACCTCTTCTGGTCTCTGTAGGCATTGCAAACACACACAAAATAAATAAATAAATATTTTTTTTTAAAAAAAAGATGTTACACTTATTAGAGATCTCAGGTAAATCTTTCACCTCCTTAGTGTGATGATAAAGGAAATAAATAAATTCTAATAATTGAAAAGTGTTATTTTTTTCCACTACAGCAGTGAATGAACCCCCCCCCCCAACTTAAGTTTGTGTTTTATCTCTTTGGCATTCCTTACACACCTCAGTTCCTATTCCATGACTGAGGTCAGTGCTCACAGTGTTTTGGGTGTACTTAATATACATTAAATAAATCGTTTTTTTCTCATATTTTTCTAATATCCATACAATATATGCATTTTGGTTGCCTAATATGTAATAATCATACTTTTAAACCCTGGGAACAACTTAAAGTATTTCATACTAAAGATTTTCAACATTAAAAAATGTCAAAAAAAAAATAAATAAAGGGGAGATAGTCATGAGTCTGAGTATAATCATGATGGCATTCTTTACATAAGTAGGTTATTTTGGACATGATATTGTAGACAATTATTTGATTATGAATAGCATATATTGCTACACTGATACATAATAACTTCCTTCTGTAGAATATGATACTATTTCCCATTACCTTTCCAGGACACTGCTTTTCCCCACAGTCTCTTCATTGCATTCTTAACTTCTGCATTTCTCAGGGTATAGATCATAGGATTTAACATGGGCGTGACAATAGTGTAAAACACAGCCACCATCTTGTCCTCTGTAAAGGTAATATCAGGGCGCATGTATGTGAAAGTACAGGGACCAAAAAAGATGATGACCACAGCGATGTGTGCACCACAGGTGGACAGAGCTTTGCGCCTGCTTCCTGCAGACTGCTTCCTCAGAGACACCAGAATGATAGTGTAGGAGATTAACAAGATGACAAAACTGCCCAGCGTAATGGTACCACTGTTAGCTGTCACAACACCACCAATGATATGTGTGTCTGTGCAAGCAAGTTTCAACACAGGGTGCACATCACAGAAGTAGTGATCAATCTCATTGGGTCCACAAAAGGGGAGCTGGAGCACCAGAGCCACTGGAATAACTGTATGCAAGAATCCACCCAGCCATGTTCCCAGCAACATTTTATTGCACCTCTCCCGGTCCATGATAGTCATATAGTGGAGGGGTTTACAGATGGCCACATAGCGATCATATGCCATTACAATAAGGATGAAGATCTCAGTACAACCAAAGAAATGAACCCCAAAGAGTTGTAATATGCACCCCCCATAGGAGATTGTTTTCTTCTTCACTAATAGGTCAGCAATAAGCTTCGGTGCTGTGGATGAAGAGAAGCATATGTCAACAAAAGATAAAGAATTCAGAAAGAAATACATAGGCAGCTTCAAAAGATTCTCCAAGCAGATGGTCAGCATGATGAGCAGGTTCCCAATAATAATGACAGTGTAGAAGAAGGAGAACACCACAAAGCACACTTCCTCAACATCTGGGTTCTGAGAAAGTCCCCAGAAGATGAATTCAGTTACATTATTTACTTTTTCCATGGAAGGAATTTAATTTTCAAATAATTTCCTGAAAGAAAATGAGATACCATCAGCATCTCTTTCTATCTCAGAAAAATAGTACTATTCTGGTAATTGATGATGAAAATTGCTGACTGGGATGCATGCTGAAAATAATTAAAGTGCATCTATCCAGAAAATCTTACCTCAAAATGACAGTCAACTTGTTTACTTCAGATGATATAGAAAAAAAAAAAAAAAAAAAAACCAGAGGTAAAATAAATCTCTTAAGTCACACATCTAACCAAGAGTCTCACATACCTAATCTTTTCTTACGATTTACTTCTCTCTTTACTCCTATCACTGTAAAAGACAAACAAATTTTGGAGGAACTCTTTGATGTGAAATATGTTATCACAATAGTAGCTAATAAACTTTGTCTTCTTTTCCTCTTGGAATTTAAAGATAACCCATTCTGAACACTCTTTTCCCCAATCACGACATCTATGCATGAATCTTGAAGAAGTGGAGACTGGATGACTTCCACAAGTTTTCCTTTGCATGTTTATGGATGTGAATTTCTGGTCCTCTGCTCTCAAACTTCCATGGTAAAGAAGCAGAAGCATAACACTACATTCCTGATTCTGAAATCATGTTGCTATAACCTGGGCCATAAGTTTACTTTGTGTGGCTATTAAAGTTTCATTTGTCAAGTGATAACTTTTTGATTGTATAATGATTTATCAGACCAGCGATAATTTTTACCACAAATTTAATCTCTCTGTCAATCTAGAATAATATAAAATCATGGCAGAGTGGCATAGGTTAAAAAAAGAAGAGAGATAAAGGATTTTGTACAGACAAGTGATCTCAATTTGATTTGAATGGAGGGAAGATTAATTCTCATTTATCTTCAATCTCTTCAAACTCAGTCTTTGCAGATTCCCTAAGATTTACTGTACCTAAACATTAGTCTAGGAACTGAAAAAGCAAACAACACTAACAAAAAAATAATAAAATAAAATTGCTATTTAATATCGCCATTATTTGTATCCTGATTATGTAAGTTTGTGGTAACATTAACAATTTTTCTCAGTTATTGGTGAAATTCAATAGTTAATGAAGAGATTGCCATTTATATTTAGCATGAGTTTAGGTAAAGAATGATCTATAATTTCAGTGAATGAATCTTCTCTATTTGGAATTTTAGGCACACTGATGGGGTTATGTTTATGTTTTGGAAGAGAAAGGTGATATGGGGTTTGAACAAAGAGAATTTCAAAGTTCTTCCTAAATCATGTCACAGATGGAAATGAGTCCTGTACTCCTATATTAGATACATAGAGTTACATACCTTCAATTTCCTCTAGTTTGGATCCTCATATTACTTTTGAGCTCTGTGCTGTCATCAAGTACTTTTCTGAAGTATTGAGGCAGGAAATGTTTGATAGTCTGTATGTTAGAGTTTGTAGAAAAGTCATTACACACCTCCTTTCCATGTTGCTGGTTAATAATAATGACCATTATAAGAGATGGTCATTATAAGAGCAATGATATAATTCAGATGCAGTGTCAGGCATACTACACGTTCCTTTCCTTTTGCTTTTATTGATGAAGAAAAATGACTTTTCTCCACTAGAAAAGCCCTCAGTTTTAAGACAGTTTAGATCATAGCAGTTTGGGACAACTGAATTATGCTGTTTAGTTCTACTCTAGAATATGATGACATCTACAAAAAGCCTGGGATCAGTTCCTCCATGTCCTCTAGGAGAAACATATCTACACAAAGCCTGAGATTTGTTCCTCTAGCATCCATCCCATCAATTCTTTATCTCTTTTTTTGCATTTAAATGAATTTTACAATTTTCATATAATCTAGTTTGATGGCATTTAGATCTACTCCCCTCTCCACACTTCTGCTCACTTTAGAGTCTGATTTGCATCCTCAAATGCCCCTCAGTATGGATCCACTCACTGGACCCACTGAGTCCCATCCCTGCAAGACATTGTCTTTTCCCCTCCCAGTAGCCATCAATTGTCAAAAGTACTTCAGGTTGGTTCAGATTTCTTACCCATTTCTCTTGTCTATACTAGGATTTTGTCTGGTTTGGGTTGCATATGAGTTGTTCATGCTGTCACCATTGGTGCTGTGAGTTCATAAGAGTAAATGGCCAGATGTCTGGAAGACATCCACCCCCTCTGGCTCTTCCTCTTCCACAATGATCACTCAAATTCTTAGTCAAATCTTTCTGTCTCCTTAAATGAAAACACACCTAAAAGTAATCTTTCATATCCATTCTGATCATTTCAGCATTACAAGCTATCACTTTCTTTTAACTAATTGGCATTTTCTCAGAGTCATGATACCTTTATCCGTGGCTGTATTTAATACATTTGATTATGTTATCATAATTTCATTCCCATATAATTTGCTACATTAGTGTCTTGGGGTTATAGTATAGGTGTTCAAAACAGATCTTACCAGAGCTTCCAAATGCTTGAGTCTTACTTTAATTTCTTCTCTTCTGAGGATGATTTGGGTACAAATGTCCAATGTAAAGAAGAGTGATATTTGATGAACTCATCAAGAATTAGTACCAGAACATTTCTGACCATCTAACCTCAAATGCTACTAGAAATGTTCTCCATTGTTTCTGATTTTCTCCAAAAGTCCATTCAGCCATTTCACAGACTCTTTGTCAATGTGCTGTGTTTTCTCTATTTATGTGTGTATTAAAAAATGATGCAATGATTACCTTAGGGAAAGTCTTTCCTCATAATAGTAATCAACTCACATAGTTCACAGTAGGTGTTCATGTCCAGGGTTTTCCTCTCTCTCTCTCTCTCTCTCTCTCTCTCTCTCTCTCTCTCTCTCTCTCTTTTCTTTTCTATTATCTCTTATCTTTTATCTCTCTGTATCTCTCTATCTATCTCTGTGTCTCTCTCTCTCTCTCTCTCTCTCTCTCTCTCTCTCTCTCTCTCTTCTTTATTCTATCATCTGTCATCTATTATCTATCTGCCTATCTGTCCATCTGTCTGTCTGTCTATCTATCTATCTATTGACCTATCATCTGTTTATTTTTTTTCTTTCTGAAACAGAGTCTCTCTGTCCATCCAGTTGGCTGTGGAGACCAGGTTGGCCATTATCTCAGAGAGATCCACATGCCTCTGACTCTTGAGTGCTAGAATTAAAGGCATGTACCACCATGGCCTGCTCCATTTTTAATTTTTTTAAATTTGCATAGCTTCATGTAAAATTCAAACGAATTTTGCATTTCAAACCATAATTCCACTTCAACGCAATTTAAAACAGAGCTAATATAATGACTATACACTTTGATCTTTAAATTAATGGCATATATTTAACAGCATATAAACATAAACATAATATATGTAATATATTAGATATTGTATATATTCAATAGCATACATTTAACATAAAATATGGTTATATTTGATTTATTGAAATGTAATTTTATACTTTTATTAGGTTCCATATGAATGGAGCAGGCAGGTTTTATTTATTATTTGGCTATAAATGTCTACTACTCACCATTTTTTTGTCCATACACTAAAATTTTCATATATGTTACCATTGATCAGATAATTATTATAATACTGTAAGTTTTATTTAATATGTATAATTAAAACTGGAGAAACAAAATATTGTAAAGTCTAAGTGATCATAGAACCTTTTGGAGTTATTGCTTTTTATTGTTTTTGTTGTCTTGGTTATTTAAGATAACTATTGTCGGTTTTCTTCTTTGACTATTTATGTTTGTACACAATGAACTCTGGTTACTCTCAATACAGCCCTCCGTATCTCCATCCCACCCTTGTCATCACTTCTCCCTTATAAGTCCCTTTCTTACATTCAAATCTTTGTGCTGTTTTGTCACCCACTGAGTTTAACCAGGGCCGTCTGTGTGAGTATGGATTTGGAAATGTCAATTTGAGCGTGGTTGCTCCCTAGCACAGAAACAAGGCAATGCAGTGATAGCCTCTCCCCGAGACACCACCAGTGCCAAGGGTTTAGCTAGGTGGGGTACAGTCCCCAGAGATTCTCCCCTATCCATATTTGATTGATGAGAGGTCCAGTCTGGTGCAGACTCAGTACAGGTGTCCATAACTACTCTCATATCCCAATTGCAATGGTTGTTTCATGCCCAGAATGTAGATCTTAGCTCTTCTCCCTATTCAGGCTATTGCATTCCTTTCATCTCTCTTTTCAATGTTCCCAGAGTCTTAGAGGGAGTATTGTAGGTTATAACCTATATAGGACTCAGCACTCAACTGTCACTTACTCTATGCAGCCCCAGCAAACAAAAGCTCTGCTTCCACCAAAGTTCATTGTCAAGGGAAGTATCCCTGCACAAGGCTGGGGGTAACATTTGTGCATGGGAATAAACATGTGTATTTAGAAGGAACTTTGGTGTCACACTTTTTAACTGAATAGCTTTTTCTGTGTTCTGCATAGGGGGGTATACCTCCTCAGCCCTGGGGTTTTGGCCAGGTTTACAATATTACATATGAATAACCCCTGTGGATCTAGACTCGAATCTATCTTATATTTGACTTTTGTCAAGCTACATTACAATATGTTTTATTGAAGTCTTGAAATATGACTGAAGACCTTTAATCTTCCTATTCTTGCAATTCATCTCTTTCTCCATATTAGAAAATACTTAAGGCATTTTTCATAAAATAATGCTGGTCTGCCCCCCTTCTTTATCATCTTTACTTCAAGCATTTGTTATTGATTTTATGCTATAAATTCATGAAGATGATTTCTTTTTCATTCTTCTTTTCATTTTTACCCACAGAGTACATTCTCAGAAACCCGGTGTTAGAAATCAATGCCTCTTCTGATTAATTCTATTTCATTTTTCATTTTAATCATTGAAATTTTAACTCCAGAATTTGATGTTGACTTTTAGTTACTTTTGTTTTACATGTATAAGTGTATTGCCTGCATGTATCTAAATGCACCCATGTCATACAATGCCTGCAGTCATCAGAAGAGGACTTCAGAACCCTTGGAA